AGCACCTGTGTTTCTGCCTCTGGGGATGCACACTACTTCCTTCCTCTAGGTATCTGATTGTCTACTCCCCAGAGAGTTTGACAAATCAGGGAAGATAGCCATTCGGCTGCCTAATTCATATGTGGGGCTTGATCCAGTAGGTGTGCAAAGGGGCCACCTACTGGGTTGGGTCCCCAAAAGTGAGTCAGATAATGGCCAGAGGAGGACTTGCCTCATAACTTTTAGTACAATGGTTAAGGTGCTCATCTATGAGGTACGAGACCCAGGATCCAGTCCCCCTGCTCCAATTATTTATACACTGTGGAATAGCTTCAACCGAAGAGATTGAGGGCAACCTACTCTAGAATATCCAATAGCTAAGTGGTTAGACACTCTCCTGTGAGGTAGTAGATCCCTCCTCAAATCCCTAATCAGGTGGAAGGGTGACCTGAAGTAGAGCACTCCCATGTTCTAGCTGAATCTCTAAATACTCGACTTAAAAGACAAGGGATGTGGTCCTCCTCCTGGTTTCTTGCAAAAAATAATTTAAGCACCTAATGCCAAAGAGGGTCCAGAGCTGAGTCTGGCTAGTAGAGATAGGTGCCTTCTTACAGACTGGACTGAAGCAATTAGCTTTGTGTAAGGGTCAGGGTTTAGCGTGCACACCCCCTCATCGGTATCTCCCATTGACTAGTTTAGGAGGCTCAAGCTGTTTTTTGTGAATCACAGGTTAAGGCATCTATCTCTTCTCATTCTCTTTTTTGCAGTGTGTTCCTGTGATTTTCTAGGGAGACACTAAAAGTTAGGAGTTGTAACACTGACCATGAGAACACACAAATACCATTCTGACTTTAAGCCAAAGTGACTATATTTTCAGAATAAGAAAGCACAATACAACTCTGGGAACAACATTTTTTTAGGGTTGTAATATACTCAAGAGCTCTATGTTCTGGCTCCTTTCTTTAATCTGCTGTTTCTGGGTCAGAAAATTTCTGCCCAGGGAGCCACAGCAGGAGTTTTAGTTTTGCATTATCTAGACAGGGTCATTGAGTCGCCTGACTCACATTGCACTAGTGAGTTATGAGTGAGAGTTATGACAAGCTTTAGTTTTGGTTGAAGCAAAACCTGTGATATAAGTGCAACATGGTAAACATGCTTCATTTTAGTGTAGAAATGCATCTTGAACAAACATTTTGTAGTAATAAACAACCTGAACATTTTCACTGATTAAATGAATAAAACCCAGTACAGTTCAGGCTCCCGAAAGACGTTCACAGGACAGCAGGAAATCATAGGACATAATGGTACTGTCCAAGTAAAATCAGGACATATAGTCTCTTTACCCAAGGATCATTCCACTGTATCAGGATCATTGGGGTGTCTTACACTTCAGCTCTATCCCTGCCATACTCCCTATTTGACTTGTTGGAATTCTCAGCTGCCTGGTTAAGGAATCCATAAGTCTTCTTTGTGCATCTGTAACGGTGATTACTCATAGAATAATGCATTACTCAACATGAATAAGTATATCAATAGGGCTCTGTGCCGGGGAGAGAGACTAGTGGGAGTGAGGAGATGTTTTCCCTGTTATTTTTTCTTTTATGCTCCATTTTATCATTGAAATTATTGAGTAAAGAAGAATCTCGATGAAACTTGTTCTTTTTAATGTCACATTTGGCCAGAAGTTTTACCTCTTGAAGTTATTTTTGCCATTGATAGCAGTAAATGCAGGCCCGTTATTTTGCAGGCCTCTTACTTCAGCATTTATATGTATATAATTATATTTCCATATGCAGCAAATATATCAAAATACCAGATTAGAAATCTTGATGTATTTCTTCTTGTTAATATTTATTACTTATGTTCCAGGGTGACCATAATATCCTGGGAGAAGGCAGCAGCAGCACTGCTGGAAGGAACTCACAGTGTAAGGGCTTGTGTACAGGGGGGGAAAGCTCAGAATAGCTATTCTACACATGAAAGTTCTTATTCTGCAATGGGTACCTTGGTGGGTATGTGTACACTGAAATAAAAGATCTTCAACACTGTGTCTCAGAGCCTAGGTCAAAATTGAGTCGGGCTTGTGGGGTTCAGGCTGCAGGGCTAAAAATAGCAGTGTAGACATTTGGACTTGGGCTGGAGCCCAGGTTCTGAAACCCGCTGGGGAATGGGTGTCTCAAAGACTGGTCTCAAGCCCAGATCCAAAAGTGTACCCTGTTATTTTTAGCCCTGCAGCCCAAGTCCGAGTCAATGCACCTGGGTTCCGAGACTCAGTACTGCGGGTTTTTTCTTTGCAGTTTAGACATACCTTGTATGACTTAGGTTAATACACTTTGGAATTGGATTAACCTAAATAGCAAGAAGGTACTCTTAATATGGAATAAGAATGTTACATGAGGGGTTAGTGTGGAACAGCTATTGTGCTTTTAGACTCTCACCCTAGCTATTTCATTCTAACTTCCCTATGAACTCCCTGTGCAGAAAAGCCCTAAGGAAGTATCATAATCATTCCAAAAAGAGACCTGTAGTGCGTTCCTCCCCTGATATACAGCAGACTGCTGTAATGCTGTTTAAAACAGCTAAATTGTTCTGAGGTATGAGGTGCTAATAAAATATACTTTGAATTATTTCCTAGTTCTCATATTTCTCTTCTTGCAAATTCAGAAGGGTAGATATTAGAAATATATTTTACTACCTTAATCATCTGAGGCAGGTTGGAGAGCAGAAAGGTAATTTCTAGTAGATAGTTGTCCCTGTGCTTGGAGGTATCTTCATTAACCTTTAAACTGTTTAGCATATCTTTATTTTTTCCTCCTAGCCAGATCCTGTCTTTAATTTTCAAATTTGATGTTTCAGCTTAAAAAGGTGCAATAACTTTTCTGGTGTGCCTCCCACCCCCATGCCTCTTGGAATGCTTACAAATTCATATTTTTTTTTAGCCTTGAAAAAAGCACAGCTTGGCACACGATCTATCACCTTGACACATGCTTTTAATAATGTCTGTAATGATCTATAGGAATTATTTATTTAAATTTCATTTTCATTAGAGAAATATGTTTACTATGCAAATGCACAAAAAAACAATATTCTCCACTACAACTGGTCCCATCAAACTCCGTATAAATCACATCAGTTGTTAAGTAAGATAATTGAAAAGTCTCAAATTAATATTGGTAAGTAGCTCTTGGTCTGGAATTCCTAAAAAGGAAAAAAAAAACAATAAATAAAACCATGGACAACATGTTTAGAGTGCTTGCAGATCCTGAAGTGAATTCTGCTTTCAGTTACAACTGTGTAATATCCAGCAGGATTTGGCCCACTCTTTTTAAAGCTGAAAGCAAGGAGATTACATTAAAACCAATTCTTTATTTGCTTAAAGTTAAAAATATTCCCTCGGGTTTATTCACCACCTTTTCGCATTAGAAGAGAAAAGAAACACACCCAACAACATAATATTTTCATCCTCCATTTGCTTTCCAGAACAGTGCAGGAAGATCACTGTGGTACCAATCCTGGACCTAGCTCCAGGCAGGCAGATTCCTGTGCCTACATGGCCAGGTAGATTCAAGGGTCTGACCGTGTGAATCCAGCTGCAGCAACAAGACCTGTACTTAGCATGGCAATTAAAATCAAGGGCAATATATTGTAATGGGTGTAAGCCTGGAGACTGAGAAGTGTTATTTCACAGAGATTACTGGAGTCAAAATATGTCAATAACTTTTTAAAATGTATGCCTTTTAGATGTAAATATTACAAAAATCTAAATTAAATAATAACATTGCCACTAAAATATCTTTTATTTTCTACAGATTATGCTTTTGTACTATTTTATCATGTTTCTGAATAACTCTAAGTAATAGATAATTATTGTAAAGAGATTACGTTTTGATCTGTTTATCCATATTAAAGTCTAACTATAATCCATCACCAAGACAGAGATAATGAATATGGAATATCAGAGCCCAAACATGTTCTATGCCTCACCCTTACACACAAGAAGGAGTGATTTAAGATTCAGAAGCAAAGTACATGAGTGTGTGGGACTACTTCTATACAGAATGGCTCAGGGTTGCCTGGAACTAATGTCTTTGATGGCTTTTTGAAAGAAATATACAATGTCTTTTATCACAGATTGATAAACATAAAATTAATGCTCTTTTCTATATGGCCAGGAAAAGCACAATTTTGTACTGTTTCCAATGTAGGAGAAAAGCCAGGAGGTTACATATTCATGGGTCACTATGCCCAGATGTGAACACTAGGATGGGATGCAGACCACTGACTACTAGCAAATGAGAAGAGGCATTTATTATCTCCATGGTGATTTAGGCATTGAGTAGAAGTGAAGAGTCCACAGATTAAGATGATCTGAAGAGAAAGCAGAGTATAAAAGGACACCAAGGCCTTGTAAGATACCTTCAATAGTAGGGGAAACCATGGAGTCCAGATCAAGGTCTTAATATTCAAATACCTCCATGGTCCTAATTACCTGAGAGATTGCCTATTTCTCCACCACCATGATCTTCCTTAATAACTCAGTTTCACTGGACCAGTTAAGGATTTGGTACAGAGTACATTGGGTCTTTCCCCCTCTTTGATGGCATCATCCTAGATGTGTAGAAATTCTTTGTGTCTGAATCTGCTGGTATCAGAATTATGTTTCTACTACCGGCCCTTGAGTTTTCTTCTTTCCCACCAAGAACCATGACAAACTGTGTGGTCAATGACATAAGAGAGGGTGTTGTAGTGCTAGAATAGTCAGCTAGTGGTCTCACTAGTTTTGTGAATTATTGATCTCTTGTTTGGGCAGCCTTGTATAAGTAAATTTTGGAATAGGGTAAGGTCCCAGAGGCTTTAAGTTTCAGGAGTGGAGCATGGCAATAGTTTCTTCCTGCCTTGTAATGAGGAAAGTTTGATTTCTGCCTGGAAGAAGAAATGATCTCACTCCGTTAAGGGGTGGGTTCTTGCATTTATATTAATGGCCATACCCACCTAAGGATGCAGACCAGATCATGGCTAGCTGTGTCTGTGTCTCTGGAGATTACTGGTGAGAACACAAAAATAGACAATTAGCTTAGGTGCTTTAGGACTATTTAATGACAGGTACTGTCTCAATTAGCTCCTCTGGGAATCCTTTGATGTCAAAATATGGCCAGTGTGCTCATCACCCCGAATATTGTGCTGTTCTGGGAAAGGGCAAAACTGGTGAGTCTCTTCCTCAAATGGAAAAGATTATTCTTTTAATGATGCAAACCTTTGTCTGTTCATAGTTGGGTAACGGAAATGCAATTATCAGCCTACTTGATGTGGTGTTAGTACCCTACTATAGCAGGTTCATCGTGGCAGAGTGAAGACCTTGCTCTGCTTTCTGCTGGAAGGGGGAGGCTCTCCTTTGTGCTGGTAGTGGGCAGAAAGAAGGTGGGAAATGATGTCACTGAGTCAAAACAGAGCTTTTTAAGTTCACTTCAGATGTGCTACCTTTCTTTCCGGTTCCCTGGTGTGCGGAACGTGTCCTTTCCTTTGTGCTGTTTCTATGAGAAGGAAACAGATTCCCTAAACATGCCTAATCATCCTTCCATCCTCCTCCAGCCCCTGGATCATCTTCTGTAGGAGCTAGCACACAAAAGATCCCCAGCCACCCTTCTGCCAGCTTATTTTCTGCCTTGAATGGATCCTTCTCTGACGCCACCAACGAAAAAGATCTTCAGCCAGAAAGTGGTAACATCTATTGTGGAAAGGAAACATAACAATACATTCAACATACTTTAAATTATAGTTTTCAAATAAAAGTCCAAAGGTGCTGTTTCTTTCATTTTGTTTTTTAACTTTACAGAAATCTTCATATTAAAAAGAAAAAGTTGTAACAAAGGGTTTTAGATTAATATTTTCTGTGTGATGACCAGAATTTTAGCCATGCAATCTCATTAAAGTTAATGGGACTCAGACAGCACAGCTAAATATCAATGCACCCTGCAGAAAGCATGCCCTGAAGCATCAAATATAAGGCAATAAGAAAAATGGCTTAGGAAACAGGCAAAAAGACAATTAGATAGACGACAGAAATACCAAATATGAATAGATTCTTAAAAGTTATGGCTTTTTCTTAAAAAAAAAACCTGCTCATCTCCAAATTTAGGGTTATATAATACCCTTCTAGGGAGAATGTGTAGAAAAATCAAAGCTTTCTTGCAAAACAATATTGTATTATATTTGTGGAAAAATCATCATATGTTCCCTTAGAGCAGTGGTTCTCAGCCAGGGGTACATGTACCTTTGGGGGTACACAGAGGTCTTCCAGGGGCTACATCAACTCATCTAGATATTCACTTAGTTTTACAACAGGCTACATAAAAAGCACTAGAAAAGTCAGTACAACTAAAATTTCATACAGACAATGACTTGTTTATACGGGTCTATGTACTACACACCAAAATGTAAGTATAATGTTTATATTCCAATTGATTTACAATTATATGGTAAAAATGAGCAAGTGAGCAATTTTTCAGTAATAGCATTCTGTGATACTTTTGTATTCTTATGTCTGATTTAATTCCTCAAGGGCCTCCTTCAGTGGTATTGCTATGGGTATAGGCCTGCCCGAATTTTGAGGCCCTCAAAATGCACTGGTAAATCCTTGCCAAACCCTTCCCTAAAGCGCCTTACAGCAATACTAATACAGATTTCCCCTGTAGGAGAACTAAGGTTACAGACTGGGAGTGGATGGGTCATTACACAAAGTAAAACTATTTCCCCTTGTTTATTCCACCCCATCCCCACTCCCCACTGTTCCTCAGACATTCTTGTCAACTGCTGGAAATGGCCCACCTTGATTATCACTACAAAAGGTTTTTCCCTCACCCTGCTCTCCTCCTGGTAATAGCTCACCTTAAGTGATCACTCTGGTTACAGTGTGTATAGTAACACCCATTGTTTCATGTTCTCTATGTATGTAAATCTCCCCACTGTATTTTTCACTGAATGCATCCGATGAAGTGAGCTGTAGCTCACAAAAGCTTATGCTCAAATAAATTTGTTAGTCTCTAAGGTGCCACAAGTCCTCCTTTTCTTTTTATGAAAGATTCAATTCTTCCTTTTGTTATAGACATACAACAACCATTTATGAACTGCAATGGAATGTGAGATATGAGACCTCAAACCTGCTAATGGGTAGGACTAAATATTTCCCATCCTGTATTGCAGGCCAGGATAAATAAATCTGTGGGGAAATACTGCAAGGTACCATTTATATATGTAATATGACAGCTGTTTGAAGCTGCTTAGAAAATTGGAATGATAGAATAAATCTCCCCACTGTATTTTCCACTGAATGCATCCGATGAAGTGGGCTCTGGCTCACGAAAGCTTATGCTCAAATAAATTTGTTAGTCTCTAAGGTGCCACAAGTCCTCATTTTCTTTTTGTGAATACAGACTAACACGGCTGCTACTCTGAAACAAACTCTAATGTTACACAGTTACTGAGGTTAATTGTTCTCATGTCTCATGGTCCTGTTGTTTGAGAGGAGATGTATATTTTTGGTAACAATAATGGTTAGGTTTTCATCATAATTCACAAGGAATTACTGTCACTCAGATTTATATTAATCAGAATTTGTGAAGATAATCCTTATTCAGGGGCTGTCTAATGTTTTTTTTTAAGTATTCTCCCCAATTTAAATAATTTGGCCTTGCTTCTGATTTTTTTCTTTAATAAGAAAATGAATGACTGTTTACATTTGGAGGTATCTATTTTCTCCGATTGTATGCATAACTCACATTGACATTAATAGGAATTAAACATACATCACACTGGGTGCACGATTGTTGTAGCTTTTTATGTTTTGTTTTGTTTTGAACTTTTATTCAGTTTCTTTTCCCCCCTATTGCTTTGTGCTCATTCCAATATGGCCCAGTTTCTCCAATAGAGTCCTTATTCCTATGAAATGTTTTCTCTACACTTCCAGCCCCCTGCTGATTCTATCCTATTTCTCCCTCAAGGACTCACCCACTTACTCAAAGGCTGACCCCAACTCTTTTGCACCTTCTGTCTTCTCTTTAGCCCTTAGCTAAACTTTCACTCTCTATAGCTGTATTTGACCCTCCTCCCACTTCCCCCCACCAACTTATTACACCATCCTATGGTCACCCATCCCACCTCCTGCCCTGCTTCCCTTTGACCAGGATCTCAGAAACAACCACACACCATCCTCACCCAACCCAGGATTTAGACTTGGAAAAAGTTGCACCAACATAAGACCAGCTGAGTCATCCAAACAGGTCTTGGTATGAATACAAGGCTCAGTGCCTCCTCCATGATTCTATTGTGGATTAGTGTTTGAGCCTGTATTAAACAGCATGAAACAAAAGCTAGGGTCCTAAATAAGGCAACAGGTGATATTGGGAGACAGGAAATAAATGCTGACTACCTGGCACATGCCTCTTACTCAACCCATATTAGTAAGGCAGATATCAGAGACTTCTGAGAACAGGCTATCTTCCTGGTATGCTAGATACCTAATGATTAGAAAAGCTTTTTCACTATTGTGGCCACCATGGGCATGTCATCATAAAAGAGGTGTAGCTATTGAACAGAGATCACAAAGAGGCTCCAGCATAGAATATTGGAAATAAAAGTGAAACACAGCACTGTGGTTCAAGCATAAACTGCAAATATATATGTACACTGTGACAGAGCTCACACAAAATAGGAGCCAACTCAGTACTGCAATGCCAAGGTGTCCCAGAAATGATGCTGCAGTAGAATTGAAATTAGACAACAGTAATGTGCAATCATAGTTATATTGCATGTGTAACTCTCTGTGCCTACTCTGTTTATTTTTGTATCTCTTGAGACATTCAATTTAAAAAAAGGAAGAAAAAAAAAGAAACAAATGCACTTCAAGGTCTTCAATAAGGAGTTATAATTTCACTAAAATATTAATATTAAAAAGTGAATGACCGATGTGAAGAACATAAGTTATTTATTTATACTACAATACAGTATATATTCAGCTGCTTTAGAATAGCAGATTAGTTATGATTTTAAATAAATCTATTATTTATATTTCTACCCCAAGACTATCTCCTTTTTAATAATGGAAGGTTATAAATTTTTCAGCCATAATACACATCTGTGAAGTCCACTTGAGAGATTACCAGGTAAACATTGCACCTTAGAACAATATAAGACACTTTGGGGAATCATTTTATGCTATGATGGATTTGTAGAATACATTTTTTAACTAATTTAGAGCAGTAGATGGTGCAGCGAGTTAATGCATCTATGAAGATTTGAGCTCAAATTAGACTTACGTTACAACACATCAGAGGAGTTTGGCATTCTCAGTCAGTTCTCGTGGATATTTTCCCACTGTGATAAAAGAATTATTATTTATAGTAATACTACTACCACTAATAAAATACTACTACTACTAATAATAATAATAAATAAATAGTACTGCAGGATTCCCCATAAGTACAGTGAGGTACAGCTCCTGCAACAAAGAGCTTGCAGGATAAAGTTCTTAAAGAATGAACTAGGAGCATAGGTCACATTCACCTCCAGTCGGACTAAGATGTTTTTTAAAAAATTTACCCACAGTCTAAAGTAAAAAAAAAGTAGGCAAGGGATGGAGTGGGGAAGAAACATGGCAGCCAAGTGAATAATATGAACTCTTAGTGGGGCCACAGTTGCGTTGCCTTTCTTCCTCATTTTTTTTCTCTCTCTTTCCTGTAAAGTTTTGAGCACCTGACCCTATAGGTAGCCGTGGACTTTGGAATACAAGCAGCTTTTCCAATGCTTAATTGCAACACCTTTTTCATCTGAACAAGCACATTCTTAAAACAAAAGAAGGGTTCAGAATATTATAGTTTCCTAGCTCACAACTGTGCCATCTCTTTTTAGGGACTCACTAGTGAAATGAATTGTAAAACTCTCAGTGTCTGAAACTAAAATAGCAAAATGTCAATTTAGGCCATTTTTTCCCCACCTACTGATTTAAGGAGGAAATAAAAATATGTGGGTTTGATCTTGGATCCCTGCATAGACACCACATGTGCTAATAGCATGCATACGTTAACTGGCTTTACTAGAAAAATGTATCAGTATGGATCATTCTGTAGTCATTCCACTTTTTATACATATCCACTTGCTGTGACTCAGCCTCTCACGCTGATTTTTTAACAATATATTTCAAACATATATGTTTCAATATTAAACTAGCTTTATTTCCAGGCAGGTGTATGATACAAGGTGGATTCAAAATGATAGTTAATTAGGTTATTTTACTTATGCCTTTACTCTTAGAAGCTCTAGTGTACAAATTTAGATTGGAGATCTGTAGTAGCAGCTACCCTAATTTGTAGTGCAAGTAACAAGAGCCATACGTAGGACAGAACACTCAAAGATTAATACACATTTTAGGCTACATCTGGTATTATTTTTTTTCCAAATGTGGCAAAATATGCCTGGTATTGTGAAGGCAGGAGGTAAGACTCTGAAACATGAATTCTCATTTTAGATTTTTACATTTTTAATACTGTATATCTTCAAAAAATGAAGCAGATTATTTTGACCCCTGTGACAGGGTTGGGCCAGATGCTACAGGAGAGTAATAATAGAAGGCAGATCTATCAAGAAGCTGCTAGAATCAATTAAAGCAAGCTAAACAGGGCACCTGGGTTTTAAAAGGAGCTCACTTCAGTTTGTGGTGCACGTGAGGAGCTGGGAGCAAGAGGTGCTAGGAGCTGAGAGTGAGAACGCATACTGTTGGAGGACTGAGGAGTACAAGCATTATCAGACACCAGGAGGAAGGTCCTATGGTGAGGATAAAGAAGGTGTTGGGAGGAGGCCATGGGGAAGTAGCCCAGGGAGTTATAGCTGTCACACAACTGTTCCAGGAGACACTCTAGACAGCTACATTCCACAGGGCCCTGGGCTGGAACCCAGAGTAGAGGGAGAGCCCGGGTTCCCCCCAAATCCTCCCAACTCCTGGTCAGACACAGGAGGAGTTGACCTGGACTGTGGGTTCACAAAAACGGCCAAACTGAGAGCTGCTGTGAAGCTCCAAGGTGAGCAAATCCGCCAATAAGTGCAAGACCCACCAAGGTAGAGGAGGAACTTTGTCACACCCCCTACCTAATTTATCTGTGATATTTAAAACTAGTATTAGGCCATAAAATGAACACTTTTTCTCTATTAATTTACAAGAGTTCAAGATATTTACCTAAAGCCATTTACTAAATAACTAAAATAAAGAAGAATTCACCACTCATATTTGCTGTTCTTTCATGGCCATTTTCTGAGAGCAATCAAACATTCCAATATTTGCTGAACATCATTTTGAACTAAATATTTGTGATTCATGCTGTATCTATTAGTTCCCGTATCTAATCCTGGGGGTATTCTGTGCCAAAAATTAAGAATTCTGAACCAAAAAATTTAAAAATTCTGCACATATTTTAAAATTCTGCAAAATTCTGCACAATTTATTTGTCAAAATAATACACCATAATAACACCTTTTTCAATTGTTTTGGTAATTTATTTCACAATACCTGTCATAAGTATGTCTATAACAATATAGACAACAAAAAAGTTTTTTCCCAGGAGGAGAGAGTTAAAAAAATCCCTATGACAACCCAGTTTCTGTTCCTCTGTTATGACTTTGCTGGGTGTCTCAGTCTGGGTGTCACATGTGCCAGCTGGGCACATCTTGGGGGAAAACTCAGGTCTCAACCCCCTCCCCCAGATCCCTTTTCTCCTAGAGCCCAGACGCAGGATGTCCCCCAGGCCAGAGACCCGCATTCCCCTAGCTTTCAGAGCCCAGCTCTGGGGCACCTCCAAGCCCAGACACTCACACACTTTACACCCAGATCCCAGCCATGAGGTGCCCCCCAGCCCAGAGATCCACAGTCTCTCCCCTCTAGAGCCCAGCCACGGGGCACCACCCTGCCCAGATACCTACACCTCTTGCCCCCAGAGCCTAGCCATCAGGTGTCCCCCAGCCCAGTCACCCTCGTGCTCATCCCCTACTCATGCTCCCAGCTCTGGGTACCCCCCAAATCAGAAATCAATACACCCCTTTGTCATAGAGGCCAGCAGCTGGGCATCCCCAGCCCATATACCTGCACCTCCCTACCCTCAGATCCCAGTTGCTGCGCTCCCTGCTAGCCCAGATACCAGCACCCCCAATCCGCCAGAGCCCAGCCGTGGGAAATCCCACATACTAGACACAGGCATTCCACTCCCTCCCAGAGCACAGGGATCCAGAGAGAAAAACAGCCTGATTCTGGTTCCTGGGCTTGTACAGAATTACCTGCATGCCTCCTGCTTCCTTCGGGGAGTGCTGGGAACTGCAGCCTCCCAGAACTCTCCAGCTTTCTCCCACTCCTTGGCAGCATCCTGTATGTGTAAGCTGAAGAGCTGGGCTCTTCTGGGTCCAGCAGCCCGTAGTGGCAGCCAGCAGCTCTGCAGCACCAGTTCTGCCAGGAAATATGATTTTTTTCCCGGAACATTAATTCTGCACAAATTAATTAATTCTGCACACTGGTGCAGAATTCCCCCAGGAGTTGTTGTTTAATTCATCCAATTAGGGAATAGAAAAATGTTGTACGATGTAACCTACAAGCAGAAACTGTAAACTTTGTATTGCAAATTCTCACAGTGAACTGTTCTGGAATGATGTGCAGACCAGTTCTGAATAAATTTGCAAATAATTTCCAATAACAAATACATTTTTAAATTTTAAGGCTGAAATCTTGGCTACAGTGAAGTCATTGGCAAACCTCCGATTTCCTGACTTCAGGATTTCCCCTTAAATCTGTTTCTGAGCAGAAAATCTGGCACAAATAAATTGTTGAAAATTAATTACTCAACTCTACGTAGCATAGATATAATGGTTTTGTTCTAAGTTGTAGCTCCCAAGCTCTGCTGTTATAGTGAAAATGCAGTTTAATATTAGTTGATGTTTATAAAACATTTCCAACATGTGAAGCAGTACACAATTGCTAAGTACTAATTTATTATATCAATTATTTAAAAATCAGTTTACAGTTGTAGACAGACGCGTCAGCTATTTTAAACTAGACTGATGTTTTCCAAAAACCTGAACTATATATACTGAAATATATATATTACTTCCAAAGACCTAATTCTGCACTACCTTCACCCTGTATAACCCAACTGACTGCTCATGAGAAAACCTGTCTCTGTTATACTCATTGACATTCATCAGGAAAAAAATGTCCTGGGACTAAAATCAATGGGACATTAACTTCTAAGTGCCGAATGGTATGTCTGCACTCGTGTTGGAAGATGTAACTTCCAGCTCCAGTAGACCTACCTGCACTAACTTTGATAGAGCTAGAGTGCTAAAAATAGAAATGGAGCCATGGCAGCATGAGCAGTGGGAGGGGCAAGCCACCCAAGTATATACTTAGGGTCTCAGGCAAAACTGTACTCAGGGCAGCTAGATCAACCTGCTGCTCATGTTACCACAACTACTCTTCTGGGTTTAGCATGCTAACTTATGTGGGTATGTCTATTAGAGCTTAAAATTACATCTTCCAGCTCCATTGTAAATCTACCCAGAGGCACTTTTGAAGATGAGACTTAAGCTCCACAGAAGCTTTTGAACATGTTACCCTAGTTAATATCTAGCAAGTTCCCATTTCTAATCTTATTCAATGGGCTAATTCAAGTTTCTTTCCCCAGGAACTTGAAATTAATGAATATGAAACCCAAGAAACTATACTTTGTCATTATTAACAATAGACTTGTAATAATGAGTGATAAAAACTCAGGCTGATAGACTGCTTCCCTTTACCTGATACCATTTTGGCATTTTTAAACTGACATATAGTTTCGTTGTCTGGGTATGCCGAAAGAAGGACAGGAGACATTTGACATGGGTGTAATCAAGCCGCAACTTTATTATTAGATGTCTGGAACTACCCAACAGATAACAGTGTACAGCACAGGCGCTGACTTTTCAAAGTGACGAGAGGTGCTCAACCCCAAGCCATTTATCTGCTCACTGTATACCTTTCCTATGGAGTATCTGCACTGGACATCTGCCCTACACTTAAATAATGAGTTGCAACATATGGTCTTCATGCCATGCATGAACAGAGCCCTTCCTGAAACCCACGTTGGGGAAGGTGAATAAACCCCAACTGCACCCAAGCCAATATGGCGGTAAGGGAAAAATTCCTTCCTACCCTCCTTAAAAAGGGGCAGCTAGAATAATGCCAACAGCAGTGTTGACTAAACCTGGTATTTTGCCACCTAAAAGGGAGGGAGGGTGGGCCCTGCTACAGCCTTGGTGTGTGTAACCAAGCTGTCCCTTTTAAAACCCTGCATTCCCAGGGGATGAGTCAGCAACCATGCTGCCCCTTTCTGCAGCAGTTTCCCCCCCCTTCACTCAGCCAGCCAGAAAAACAACACCCCCCACGCCTGTTTAAAGGTGCAGGGGGGTCGTTTTTCTGAAACAAGAATACTTTACACATATATAGTGCCTTCCCTGATCCAAAGATCTCAAAGTGCTTTATTAGCAACTGTCAAGGTTCCTTCCCCACTCTGAACTCTAGGCTACAGATGTGGTGACCTGCATGAAAACCTCCTTAGCTTACTTTTTCTAGCTTAGGTTAAAACTTCCCCAAGGTACAAACTATTTTACCTTTTGCCCCTGGACTTTTGCTGCCACCACCAAACGTCTAACCGGTATTATATTATTAGGAAAGAGTCCATTTGGAAATGTCTTCCCCCCCAAATCCTCCCAAATGTTACCCGCCCTTTCCTGGGGAAGGTTTGATAAAAATCCTCACCAATTTGCATAGGTTACCACAGACCCAAACCCTTGGATCTTAAGAACAAAGAAGAATTTTAATAGAAGAAAAAGTAAAAAGAATCACCTCTGTAAAATCAGGATGGTAAATACCTTACAGGGTAATTAGATTCAAAACATAGAGAATCCATCTAGGCAAAACATTAAGTTAGAAAAAGATGCAAAAACAGGAATATCCATTCCATTCAGCACAGCTTATTTTCTCAGCCATTTAAAGAAATCAGAATGTAACGCATATCTAGCTAGATTAATTACTAAGTTCTAAGACTCCATTCCTGTTCTGTCCCCAGCAACAGCATCACACAGACAGACAGAGAGGGTTTGTTTCTCCCTTCCCCCAGCTTTTGAAAGTATCTTGTCTCCTCATTGGTCATTTTGGTCAGGTGCCAGCAAAGTTATCCTAGCTTCTTAACCCTTTACAGGTGAAAGGGTTTTTCCTCTGGCCAGGAGGAATTTTAAAGGGGTTTACCCTTCCCTTTATATTTATGACAGCAACAGTAAAGCCTTCACTATTCAATAACATCTTCTTTTCACTTTGTACATTGTTTTCTCAGTCTTCTTTCTCATTCATGCTATTACGTTTATGTATGTTGTTTTGTTTTCCTTTATAAGCTGCACAGACCTTATCTACATGATTTATAGCATATTTCTCTTTCTATTTTTATACAGAGTTAACTACATGCACACCAACACATGCACAAATTAAAATATTATTGTAGGGTAACTTTCTCTATTTTAAATAAATAATCTCAACTGGATAATAAACAACAAAGTGGTAAAATAGTAAATGTATCCTTTGAAAGGCATGTCAGCAAGCTCCTTCTATTAAGAGCAAGAAAAGGCAAAGGTAATCAGACTGCTGATGACAGTCTAGCCAGGGGTGATAATCCCCATTATATCAGATACATTTAAACAACTGTGTTTCACATCCCTCCAAAGCAGGCTTGCACATGTCACAGCACAAATTAGTGAAGTCTAAATTTCAGCTCAAGGCTCCATGTGTCATTTAATAGCATACATTTGCTAACCGTAGCCAAAAAGCAGGCTTCCATCAGGGACCTTGAAACTCCTCATTTACATAAGAATGGGAAGTTAATTGTGTTACAGATATTCTGACTTCCCCAAGGAGTTCATTAAGCATGATGAACATGCTGAGAATATAACTTAACTGTCATTTCTGAGAAATCTGGAAAATTCAACTTCAGATACACTACCACTGGAACTAAAGTACAGAATACAATATACACTTGATTCTAAAACAGAAATGGGGTAAGATTGAAATCCACCCAGACTCTTGCTGGTATTTTCAATATATTAGCTGTTGTTTTAGGGCAACTCTTTCTACCTTTTTATTACCATCAACTCTAAATGTGGGTCATGCACCTGAGAAATTATCGAAAGAATTTGCTTACGTTGGTATCGGATATGGCCTCAGCAACATTCAGTACCATTGCTATAACAAAAAAAGCAAGAAACAAAACAACAAAAACATCAGAGAAAAGAGAAATCATATTTATTCTTATCTGAGCTGGCAAAAAAGAAAGGGAGATGACATGAAATGCAGCTCACACTTTTTTGATAACATCTTTCCAGTGATCCATCTCTGCCCTGGTTAAAGCATGGGGCATTTCAAATTTGTTTTCAATATTTGGCTAATCCGGTGGAAATAATTGATAACTGGTTTTAAGCCATCACTGTTGAAGGTGTGGTATATGTATCTTATCCTTTATTGCATAGCCAAAGCAATATGTTATCACAATTCTTTAGTGAAAAATTTTCTGTTTGCTCTGTTAACTTCTCTTTTGTCCAAACAATGAAGATAGCTAGATAGAATGCTACTGCTACTCATCGATCCAAACTGAGAGTGAGGTTTGGTCGTTGGGTGAAGTAGTACACTCAAGGGACTATTAACTGAAGGATGTTCCTACCAGCAGGTGGGAGGGGAGTCAGGCAGACTAACACCAAAGTGACTGGAAGGAGGGGGTATTGTACTCTTTACTTACATATATAGTCTGTTTCTGTGTTTTCCCATGTTTATCACTGTACTTCTTTTTCCTAATAAAGATTCCCTTGTCTTGTACACAGTGCTGGTGTGTAAGAAAGTTCCACGTGTTAAGGGCATCAAAAGGAGGGTGCATTTATTTGCCCCAAGTTTCTGGGAGGGAGGGGGCTTGAACTGGTTTCATTATTTGTCAAGAGGGACTTGAGATATATTGAACCTGACCTTTTTTGCTGCCGTTAACCACCTGGTAGAAGAGTTACACTTATATTAATTCCTCTGGGATAAAAATAAGAACATTCTGAGTGAAATTCTGCTTTCACCAACCCTGGGACACACTCATAGATTCACAGACTCCAAGGTCTGAAGAGATCACTGTGAGCACCCAGTCTGACCTTCTGTATAACAGGCCACATAATTTCCCTAAAGAATTCCTGCAGCATAGCTTTTAGAAAAAGCCTCCAGTCTTGATTTAAATATCAGTGATGATGAATCCACCATGACCCTTGGTAAATTGTTCCTGTGGCTAATGTCAAAATGTCATGCAGTACCATGTCAAACTC